AAAAGTTAGCAACGTACAGAGGATGATTTTTGAATTCGGCGACTGTAACTGGCATGGGTTTTGTCATTAGGAAATTGTGGAGTTTAACCGTTTCGAGACGATTACGAGCATGATTTTTACTTTGGAATGGCTGAAAAATCAACGTAAAGGAAATTTAAATGTGAAATCGAAGGAATTTCAGTGCGCCAACAAAAAAACAAGGAATATCCAGCCAGTTCTCGGTCTCGAAATGATATCGATAAGAAACAGGCAAAGAATGGTAATCAAATGGTTCATATAACTCGAAGAATTATATAACTAATTGCAACTTTTAACGAAAATTACAAAAATTGCCTATATATAAGTAGGCATCCGTCAAGGTACATATCGTAACCGGTTGAACAGAATAAAATTCACGAAGATTCAATGAAACTGAATTAGGTCAATTGACTAATACCATAAGTGATGATTTCCACCACTCCTCATCGATCCTCAATCGTCTCACTTCACTCGAAAGATACTTGGATGCATATCGCGCCGTTACATCTCGCATACCAAACTCTATGCAATCATATTTACTGTCAATACAAATAGATAATTCTGTATGTGATATTGAATATATCATATAAGCCATAAGAGCAATAGATAATCTGATGTTTTATTGTTCAGAATGACTTGAAAGCAGGCAATATTTATCTATTTCTCTAACAAACCCTCAATTTCACGACGTCTAATGCAGACTCAGGACAGAATACAACGTAGGATTGGTTAGAGGTGCATGGATGACGGTATTAAACACCGAAACGTTGATGGTTTAGTGAATAAATAAATAAATTTTATGCGACTGCTGACCATCTTAAGCAATGTCAGATATCAGATAGTTTAGTCAAATGACCAGCATGCACCTGATGCAAGAAGTAGGGAAAGGTTCACTGATAAATGATCACTGAGCGAGAAAATGTAATGAATGATAAAAGGTAACTTTTGGATTACATTACTTCATTTGTTGGTGTTTGAATAGCGAAACGACTCGTATTCCTTAACTATCGAAAATAACAAAATTGAAAGTTCATAAACAGCAATAACAATTTACCATTATCAATCGCAATTACGTAATGCATTGGTGATGTGGCATCTGATTCGATCAGTTCAGCCATATCAATTGTGCCTTTTATCGGATCTATGCCTGCAAAAAAATGAATAATTGTTCGTTATCTTCCTTGATATTCTTATTGAGAATTCCATCAGTTCGAAGCATCCAGTTCTCCTCACTAACTATAAATGTACTGTCATTTAATGAACCAGTTTATTCCTACGCATTGTATGTAAAATACTCATACAAAAGGCACAAAAATGTTACAGAAACAATCGCACTCCCTTAAAACCATCACAAAAGACCGTTACATAAACCGAAAGAATTTATGTACAGTCCTTCATCGTCATTCATTCTAATTCCAACATTCCCACAATAAAACCATTCAAATTCATCTTCGAGAGCACAAAATCGAAAATGATAACCACAAACGATTATCCATTCAAATGAAAATAAACTTACAAATCCATTCTTCGGATATTTCATCCCAATATTCCACCCAATAATTACGCCCCAAATTGACCTTCTTCGTAGGCATTTTCTTCTTAGAATTGACGGTGATCCCCTTCACTGAACTATTGACCGCTTTCTTGAATCTCTTCTTCTGCTCCTCTTCTTTTTGACGTTTACTCTTCGGCGTCCAATCCATCTCACTCGCACTTTCATTCAATTCTGCACTTGTTGCGTTGTCTTTCGTCGATTCTTTCCCAGTTCGATTTGAGGTCTTTGAAGAATCAGCTTTACTCGATGATGCTTCATTCTCCTTTTTTTCATTCGATTTTGCCAAACTTTTAAGATCCTGAAATATCCATTGCATTATTATTATTATTATTATTATTATTATTATTATCACCAGCAATATTACAAAATTCGTAAAGAATTAACGTCAACTTTTTAAAGCAATGAGCCAATGCCATGCTAACTAACATCAAAATTCACAGAACTGCGATAGTATAAATGGACATCCAAAAATGGACAACTGACCGGTTTATGTGAAATAGGATAACATGAAAGACACAAGCGAACGGATTGTTTCAGTGCAAGTAAACACAGAACCAGTATCTAAAATGTAATGCATCAGTCAAAAGAGTATCAAGAAGAGTTTAACAGCAAATGAACAGCAGAATATCCATTTTATCATTACATAAGCCATTTGATACCTTTTTGGTAATAAATGAAATTAGGAATCGCTTCGAGAAGTGTAACATATCATTTATTCACTGCGAGTAGTGAAAGTTGAAAAATAATTCGTGGTTATCGACGTGAGGTGAATTCATTTGTCATTACATATATGCATAATCGATTCAATGAACAATGTTGAATGGTTCACAAAGAAATATTAATCGATAACTTACTGAAGCAATATCTTTCGGCGTTTCGTAGACCTTATCGCTGATCAACATTCCGAGTCGTTCAACCTGGGAATTGAAAACGCTATGGGATAATTTAGAACTATAACCAATCGCAAAAGGAACTTTTCCTTTACGGAGGATCGTCACTTTGGTTAATCGGTTAATGAATTGTTAACGTGGATGAATCTTATCGTCACACAGTCGATCAAATCAGCCAATCAAAACTGGAAATTCATAGTAAAAATGCGACAATTCTTATGTAAAGATGAACCTGTGCGTCGCAGAATCCACTTCTTGTCAAATAAATGGTCAAGTCTTTACGAACGAATGCCGAATGGAACCACTTCATGAATCGCTCGACCGATGCTGTATCAAATGACAATTGTGCTGACTGCACATAACCCTCCGGGATCAACGATAAGCACTGTGCAGATAGATATTCACTACGAACCAAAGAACGCATCCACACACGTAAATGTGCTACATAACAGAGCAGGTGCATCTGAATTCCATTGTCATTATTGTTTCCACCTATAAGTCGCTCTGGTTCCATGAATAAAACAATAAAACATAAATGAATACGATTGTTCAAGTGAACAAAGGTGAGACCACTCTCTGAAAAATTCCGTTAAAGTACGAAATCAAATGAATAAAATTAAATCGAATGAAACGAATACCTTATGACAGTTGATTTGCCTTTTGAGGATCTGACGATTAACCTCTTGTCTCAGAAATTTCGCCCACTTACTTTCTTCACTTTCCTCGGGTTTCTTTGGCCGTTGAATTGTAATTTCAACATCCTGCTGATGACGAT